GAAGAAAGCATCAAAACCTTGAACCTGGTTCCAGACCACAACAGGTAACCAGTAGAGATGAGCCAGAACTGGAGTGATGTGATCAAATTTGCTCACACCAGCCACCAGTCTGGCTGCCTAGTCAGCCTAAAGGGAAGCCCTATGCAGAAAGCATTGTAGTAGTCAATCTGGAAGATGATCAGTCTTGCGCCAACATCCTGAGTGAACCCTTGTCAAGGTAGAGGCAGAGTCGGGTGATAAGCTGGTTAAAAGAAGATCTGGACATGGATGCAATTTGAGAATCCCAAGAAAGACATGGGTCCAGAAGAACTTGATCCCTAAACAGGAGCACAATGCTGTCCAATCTAGGTGATACTCCCCATCCATGTACAACCCATCAGAGGGGCCTCCCAGGAAGAAAATCTGCATCTTGTCTGGGTTCAGTTTGAGCCTATTACAACTGCTTCACAAGTGGAATTTCAAAACTGAAAAGTTCATTATGTGACCAGGAAACATGTTTCATGAATTACCATGATTATTTGAGCTTGCAAAACCCATGAAGAGGGTTGATTCATGTCAAGGCTGGATGTTCCAATGGGAGACTGCAGAGTACAGGCCAGCGTGGTTCTGATAGTTTATCAGAGAAGATTGCATGAGAAGTGAAAACATAGGGGGAAAGTTCTTCCCCTCTCCCCACCTTTCTCATACATTTACCCAGATTCATCATGTTTTTTTGTATGAATGATACAAAACATATAAAACAGAGCAGCTTTTATTTCCACCTCAATATTTATCTAATTCTACTGCCTCCTTAATAAATTTATATGTGAAAGGTCAAGTGAACATATCTTGAGAGAGATTTAAACTGTTATATTTAGGTCTAACAAAGAGTCCCAAATGGCAACTATGAAAGCATCATTGAAATGGAGATGTTGATTTCAGTGATCATCCATAGCTTCTTCCTGACAATTGTGAGTTACTTTATTTTTAGACAGACAGACAGATAGATCCAAGGTCCATGAATTAAGAAAAAAAAAACCACTTCAGAGTTGGGTATTACCTTTGCTGGAGCAACAAACTATCACCAGCATGGGGATTTGAATCCAGGTGTCCTGAGACCTAGGATGATATTTTATCCAATACACCACACTGTCTTTCCATACAGATATTAACCAACTTCTGTTTTCAAACTCATTCGTCCTTATTCTTCACATGCCATAATTGTGTAAAGTCACCATAACAAGAGAGAATGCAGAGACATAATTTTGTATTTTACCATAAATAGTGAAATATAGGTTGCAGGTCTATCTGCTGACCTACTTTGAAGTAAGCCTTAATAAATTCAACAGGGCTTACTTTTATTTTTATTCATTTATTCTATTTATATCCCGCCTATCTGAGTTTGCATTATCATACACCGGAAGTAACACTTTCAATAATACAGTTTCAAGAAACTGTTTCTATAACAATCTGTTAGTTCATTATCACTGACCACCTAAACACTTCAGTACTGTTCTGATAGCAAATAATAGGAATGAAAAGATAGACGAGTTTGTAAATGCAAATCCAAAGAATAGAGGGGGCATGGCATTTGTACAGATTATGGGTCTTTTAGAGCACTAGAGAGCTCTGTGTCCTTAGTGGTGCAGTGGAGTTCTAATCAAGCAAGAGTCAAGCAGCAACAGCATAGCGACTGCATAAATTGGGGAGGGGGGAATTAGCTTTGTAATGGTAAGGCTAAAAAATTGTATAGTGCTTTTGAGTGTCCAGAGTGCTTCACAGACATTATCTAGTTGTAAACTTTACAATTCCATAAGAAGTGTCCCCTGAGGCTATGAAAGCATGGCTCTCTAGGCATTGTGAGTTCCTGACAGAGGATGTTTTGATGTGTAGTTCATCCTCCTAAGGAAGAGTTTAAACTGCTTTTAGACCTGATCAGGTGAGACATCTATGTAAAACACAAAACTGAAAATCTGGTATCCTTTTAACACCTATGCTGACGATCACCATTGTCCCTCTTACCACCAATTTTCCTCAATGATAGTGGCCAAGTGCGGCATTCACTCTAGGGTAGCCTGCTAGAAATGGGCAGGGTTTATGCACCTTTAATAGCTGTATGGGAAAGTGAATTCTCCAGGAGGAGGAACCTTGTCTTCTTTTGTATCTGGCAACTCTGACTGGACCTCTCAAGACAAGATGCCACTAGCAGGGAGCAATTTTTAAAAAGGATGAAATAAATCCTGGTCCTCCTGTAACTCATCAAGATGAATTGGTTTCTTGCTTCTACAGTGCTGGTTCAGACTGGCTCTTGCAGCATAGTCATGGGTTTGTACCAGTATCAGCTGCCCAGGCATTTGAGCTGCTCTGTTTGCCAGCTTATGAAACCCATTTCAGCTTTTCAGTTTCTTAGCTTTGTAAATACGGGCTCTCTCCCCCAGCTCACACTATCCTGTCTTCTCATCAGGTACAACCCCACATAAGGCCCTTGTAACTTTAAAATTTGTGCAGGAACAGCCATTTAACCAGGTGTTGCTCTTCTCTGATGGAATATTATAGCATAAACTATTCAGGTGTAAATCCCATTGATTCCAGTGAGGCTTATGAGATGACTGCATTTTCAAATGCATATTATATTGGAAACCTAGGCAGTATGTAGACTTACCTGAGTGTAATTGCCACTCAACTCAAAAGGTGCTTATTTCTAAGCATAGGAGTAGACTATTAGAGATAGAAGTTTCCTGAGACATGGGTGTGGTATGCCTCATGCTCTCCCTCTCTAACAGTGCATTTTCACTGGGAAATTGGTTCAGCTGTGTTTTGTGAACTTTACTGCTTTGCTTCAAAAGCTTGGGTGCCTACACTTTTCCTCCTAACTTGCTACTGATGCTGCTCTTGCAATACAATGTGCCATTTTATCAGCTCCACGCTACTTGTTCTTGGTGCTAGCTGTCTTAATAGGATTATTAGGTTACAATTCACTTATTAAAAGCAGTCTTAAATGCAAAGTTCTCTGCAACTCCCAAAGGCAAGCACTTTCTTAGAGTCTACATGAGGAAGAGCAAAAACTTTGGCTTTGAGGGGTCATTATCTCACAGCCCATCTAAAGAGTCAGTGGCTGTATAAGTGTGGGTAGGTCACAGAGTAGCAGTTGCATCTGTCATTACCATCTCATCATTTCCAATTCCTCCTCCTCCTCCTGAGTAATGACAGTGGCTAGCTGGATGCAGTCCTCACCATTGTCCTGCAGTACCAATTATCTATACTTCAGCTTACAAATTGGTTTGGTAAGAGGATAAAGAGGGTTAACTGAATGAGATACTTAGTCAGTGATGCTCCTGTACACAAAGCAGAAGCTATTTCTTGGAGGGGCAGGCCAAAACAAGAATAGACCAAAATGAAATTAGGCTCCTTGTTCTTCAGTAACATCTCACCTATATCTATTAAACAAGAATGCCTTATAGTGAGCTTGCTGGCTACTAGAACCTAGTCTGTGGTAGAGGCATCAAGCACCTGAAGTATTATGACCATTCTACTCAGATATCCTGCTGAACTTCATGATACTCCTAGGTAAGTGTGTACAGGACTGCAGTCTTGATGTGGCAGTAGCTGTTAGGAAGGTATGAACAGGGAAGTTCCTGACTCATGTAGGAACAATTGATTTCATGCAGTGGTTAAAGCCAGAAGAAACATATCACAGCAATTGTATCAGGGCTGAGACTAGGATATGGATGAGTACAGCTGGTATTTTTCCACTTGTACTGTCTTCTGAATTTCCTTTACCTTCTTCCCCCCCAACCCCCCCACCCAGTAAACTGCCAATGTTGTTGAAAAGTTTGGGGACTTCCTGCTTCTTTCTTGAGATCTCTCTCAACCTAGTTTTCAGTCCCACCTCCATAGCTACTCCTTCTTCCATAGGGCCTGTTTCAGAAGCTTTCGTTACTTACTGTACACTTGGGACTATTCTGTGCTTAAGAAGTGTCATGGTTGTGAACATACCAAAATACACCATCTGCTAACTTTAGGCCTGTGCATTAATCCATTTGTGGGCTACAAAATAATGATACAGTGCAGCAGAGTGAATTCTGGTGGTGCGGGTGGCCCTAACCCTTGTTGTTGCTCAGTTGTGTCCGACTCTTCGTGACCCCATGGACCAGAGCATGCCAGGCCCTCCTGTCTTCCACTGCCTCCCAGGGTTGGGTCAAATTCATGGTGGTAGCTTTGGTGACACTGTCGATCCATCTTGTTCTCTGTCTTCTCCTGTTGCCTTCACACTTTCCCAACATCAGGGTCTTTTCCAGGGAATCTTCTCTTCTCATGAGCCCTAATCCTTACCACATACTTCATCCCTGTGGTTTGATCAGAATCTCTGTGCAATACCTTGCAAACTGTGATGGGTAGATCCCACTTCGTCCCTGGAAGGAACCTGGATGCTGATTCTATGGATGGAGCAAAGCTTGCTAACACAATCACTACACCATCCCCTCCCTTCATGGATACAGTGAACGCTTCTTTAGTGGTCTCCTCTTATCTGCAGCCTTGATCCCTTCCCAGTTTACTGCATTGCCCAAGTGAGGCTGTATCTCATGCCCACAGTTTCCAATCTGTTTGAGACTTTTATGTTTTCTCTCAAAGGTGTCAGGCACAGAAAACACGAATCTAGGTTTTGCCTGCCTGTGAGCGTTTACAGAAGCCTTCAGGTACACACCAGCATTACTAGGTGAAGAGGACTACTAGCAGTCATACATTTATCTAAAGGGGGCAAAAAGAGAGAACAGAGGGTCAAATCTTTCTCTGAGAAAGGAAGTCTTTCCCTTGGCAGCCCCCACAGATGCTCATCAAACCTGCCACTATCTGAAGGTTAGACGGAACCAGAGCAGACCCATTGAGTCAGTGGGACTGACTTAAATGCTCCCCTACTATCCAGCAACTGACATTTGCAATGGGCCACTGACTCCTAGCCCACCTTTGGGTTCAGTTTTCGGCCTTTTAAGGCGGCTTGGCGGCTTCCAGCGCTTTCCCTAGCTTCGGAAGGGGTGGCTCGTCAGCCTACCGACGCATTTTCGAGCCAGGAAGCGGGCCAGCAGGAACCCTTTACCTACTGGCGGGCTGGAAGACCAGCGTTTTCCGCCGGCCCCTTCGAGAGAGTCAGTCAGGTTTTTTTTCCCTCTCTCTCTTATATCCTCCCCCCTCCTCTTCTCTCGGTTCCTTCTGAGGAGAGTTTGAGCGCGCTCTCTTTCGCCTCATGGGCAGGGGGAGGAGCCGAGCGCCCGGGGACGCCGCCGGTGGCTCCCACCTGCATGCAGTTGATGGGCCAGTGGGGAGCGGCCGCAGCCAAGCCAAGAGGGCGCTTCTCCCTCGCAGCCCACTTGCCCGTGGGCGCAGCTCGTGAGAGGCAGCCGGCTCGCTTCCCCGGCGCGCGCTCTTTTTTTTCTTTCCCTGCTCGCTTTCTCTGCTCGGCTTTTTTGACCGCCTTCCTGCTCCGCCATGGAGGCATCTGAAGCCGGGGACGAGCTGGCTCAAACCCCGGAACCCACCATCGTGCAGCCCGCTGCGGCCGCCGGCGGGACCGCTCCCCCGCCTCCTCCACCACCACCACCACCCTACCAATCCCGGGATCCGCCGCCGCCGCCGCAGCAAGGCGAACAGCTGCGCCTCGGGGAGGACGGGCAGTTCAGCGAGGAGCTGGAAGATAGAGGTGAGCCTCTTGGGCCAGCGCCGCCTCCCGCAGCCGCAGCCACCCCCCAGGTAGCCGGGCCCCTGTTCCGCGGCGCCCTTCCCTCCCGGTCTCCCTCGCTCCCACTCCGCTTCCCTTCCCGCTCTTTTATCGCAGCCTCCCAGCTCTCGAAACATTTCGAAGTTGTCGTTTCTTCGACTCGGCCAAAGCTCCGGCGCGTCCTCGACGACTCCCCTCCGACCGCCGCGCCCTCACGGCGAGCTCCCCCTCGCCCTCCCCTTGCCCCGGGCAACACACCTGCCAATTTCTCCCTCAGCTTTTACCTCGACCACCGTCCACCACGAACCTCTCGCTGCCTTGAGGGCGCACTTCTCCAGCCGACCGACCTTTCCCCAGTCCTTCCCCCTTCAGGGGAAATTCCTGCCTTGTCCCTCCTGCAGCCTGACAGACCTGCATCCCACAACGTCGTCCCTCAGGGAGGAAAAAAAAAATATTAATCGCCGCCGCCCCTTATCCCCTGGGACACCTTCGGCCTTCACGGGGGTGCCTCCACCAACCGCGTCTTCTCCTCGCCTTTCCTTCGGCTTCCCTCCTTTATCCCTAGCTGCCCATTTCCCCCACAACCTCTCCGCTTGCGTGTCTGGGCGCGTTTTCTGTCTATTTGCGGCGGCCGTCTGAACACTCGCCTCCCCTGCCCCTCTCGAACCTTTGCGGGTCCAGGAAGGCGCTCTTTCGGGAGCGACGAATAAACAAACGAACCCCCTCCAACCCCCCACCCAAAAAAAAGCTGGGACTCTCTTCTCTCCGCCCGGCGGCCCGAGTAATCCCTCCCTCCCTTTCTTCCTTCTTTCAAGAACAAATGCCACCGCTTGAATAGAGACGCCGACCCAGGCACGCCACCCCGTCTTCAAAAGGCGATTAGAAAAGCGTTGGCGAGCGGGCAGGCGGGCGGCCCCATTCACGGCCAAGAAAGGAGGGCTGCTCGTTCCCCGCCCCGGCTCCCGAGGAAGGGACGCTCAGCCCCATTGTCTGCCGCCTGAGGCAGCTGCCCAGCGCGTGCCTATTCACTGGCGTTGTCTATATACTGTATCGTGCTTTCTCTAGGCGCTCCTCCTGCCTCACCCCAACCCCCGCGTGTGCGGTGCGATGGCATCCTCGTTTCGTGTGGATGCAGGCGGCTCCCTCTCATTCCTTTGAACCTGCTGCTTGCTCTTCCTCCTTTAGCTGTTCTTCACTGTTAGGTATTCTTCATCAATTACCTGACGGTACAGAATTAAAATCCAAAATCTGGTTGTCTGTTGTTCTTTTTTTTTATCAAGAGTAGGTCATCCCGTTCCCCCCCCCCACAAATAAAAATTAGTCAGATCAGAAATTACCTTGCTTATATCTTTCAAACAGCAGTAACCGGTCAATTTTGTCTCAGGTTCTGATTCAGGAATCTGGATGAACGCTCTTGACTTATCTGGGAATGCCCCTCCCTCTGTGTACTGTATCTTTTTACACTTAAGTAGAAATCGCTCTTTAGACCTAGGAGAGAATAATGGAAAGGAGGAACAAAGAATTCCGTTAAAGAGAAATTAAAGTAGATGGTGTATGAAATGGGACAGCTAACCAGAATTTTCTTACCTGTATTTGGTCATAGCTCAGACCTCTGATACACTGTTTAGCATGGTCTCCAAGGAAATATTGGGAATAATTTCAGTCTTCATTTTTTGTTGATTTGTCAGTTTCATTGACTGTACTCTGAGCTACTTGGATACTTATAAGAAGCATAAAGGATTGTTAATGTAAGCACTTTTGTCAAGGTTGCATTCATTAATTTTTACATTTTCTGAGAGATTCCAAGCCACCCTCTTTTGTTAAGGATTCTACCCCATGCCCATTTTGATAAGATTTAGAGAATCTGTGCAGAATTAGTTGGAGTGAGGAAAACTTTTAAAAATGTGCCTACATCTGCAATTTAAAAAAATTATTTGGTACTGTTTAAAATGGTGTTTATTGAAGATCCAGCTTCTTAAAGGTATTGTCAGGTGAAAAAAAAAACCCTCTACCTGTGAAAAATTCCTTGTTTTACAGAAAAAAGGGGAGAAATGACATTGGATAGAAATCTGTGACATTAGGTGTGTTAAAAGAAAACACTGCCTGATAATTTTTAAAAAAATGGTAGCCATTTTAAAACACGGCTTGTAAAGAGCACACTAGGCTTAATTTTTTTTAGGTTGTTCCTTTCTGTGGCTTATTTTTGTTTTGTCCAAACTGTATACCAAATGAACATTCGAAAATTCTGTCTTTCTGAAATTTGTACACATAATCTAAACTCTTTAATGGTCTAATATTGCCTGTGAAATTATTATTTTATGTATTTGCCAGCTGCATGATGTTTGCATGTAGTCCTTGGAGATTTCCTCATTCTTACAAAGCAAGGCTGGTTAAGAGAAAGAATTCTATCTAAATAGTGAACTCGTCAATTATTTTAGACTTGAAGAAACAAATAATGTAGAATTTGTCAGGTTCTGACTCATTGCAGGACAAAGAGTATTAAATTAAACACAGTATTCTAACTTAAACTAGAATGTGTTGATTTTAAATGAACAATGGTAATAAAATTTGCTTAGAGAAAGTAAGCTGTACATCTACTATAGTATTTAATAAACAAAGGCTTGTTTTAGGAGCTTATTTCCTTTTATTTTATTTTTCTGAATCAGGAATATTGGGGTTCTACACATATCTTGGAATGCAGATCCTTTTAATTCAGTTTTGGTGTGGAAAACCAAAGCTTTCTCCACACCAAAGCTTAGCCCAGTTCAGTCCTTTTGATACCTAGTTCTGATTTGCTAAATCTCAATTTATGCTTCCTTGTGCTTACCAACAATTAGAAAAATTAACCTAGTCAGAAAAAGTAAATTTTTCTATTTCCAGAAATCAAAGTGAATGGGCTAAAGAGATAATGGAACTTAAAGGAATACTGTTTTATGGAGTGGTGATGGTGGTGAAATCTTGCTATAGTATAGTGAGGTTCTTAGAACTGAAGCAACAAAGGAATCAAGTGGAGATTCCTATATAACAGTGTTGCTTCCTGATTCCCATCTGTACTGTGCATGCTTGAGATTTTGGATATGCATCATATTAATCCTTTTCTTTTACATTATAGTCAAGCTACCACTTGGGTTGTGCATCTGTTTAACTGCCACCCTAAGCAGGCTTTTCCCTTGTTCTTTGACACTTGATCTTGAATGAGCTGTATAAATGCTGGGAAGCCTTCTCATGTATAGTTTCTTTATGGCTGTAGTGTGCTCCAGGCAGCCAATTAGTACATTTTTACCTCCTTGTGAAATGCAAACACAAAGATGAACTAGAGCTGAACTCCTCAGCTTGTATTTGCTTTGTTTGCAATCTGAATAAGGTGAACAGGATTTGGCTTAAATGATGGTGCATAGAACATACACAAAATATGCCTAATTGGCCCTGACAAAATGTGGTTTTATTTTTTTTAAAAGATGAATAACTCTTTACACACTTCTCTCCCCCTTCTGTCTCTGATTCTCTCATCAGGTTTACTAGAAAGCAGCACAAGATTAAAACCTCATGAAGCTCAAAGCTACAGAAAAAAGGCAGTGTGGGTTTCATGGGCTTCCATTGTTGTCACACTGGCTCTAGCAGTTGCTGCCTTCAGTGAGTATACAACCTATTTCAAATTCTTAGCTTTGTCTTCCTGAAAGCTTAAAAAACAACAGACCGGGTGCTGTTCTTTGCTTTTAAATGGCTCTTTTAATGATGATGTGATTTAAACCAGCCTTGTCTGATGCTTTGTGAAGCAATGAAATAGCTGTATGTGTTTTTCCCCACCCCTGGAAATAGAATATAATTTTTGAAGGTCGGAGGAAAGAACAGATATATTTTGTTTGTTTGTTTGTTTTTAGGCTTTGCAGATATAGAGGTTTGTTCATTTTTCTGACCAATATTGTAAGGTATAATGGCTTGATTGTTAACTGAAAAGGACAAAGAAAGTCTCTTATCTTTCTTGGACATCTTCATTTGACTAATACAGCAAAGCCAGAACAGAAACATCCACAAAAAGCTCTAATATTTATTTTACTGAGTTAAGAATCAAATACCCAGCTATTGCTATTCTGATAAGATCATATTCTCCTTAGGGTTAATTTAATGATGCTAATTTAAATATGCTTTTGTCTATTTAAATTAATATTCTAGAGAGATTCAGATCTATTTGGGGGTTTTCTTAGGTGCCCAATGTGGTCATCTAAAACAAACATTACTTTAAAAAAATCAAATCAAATAAAAGGTTGCTTGCTTCATTTGAATGGAAGTTCCTTAGCTTAGCACAAAATTAAAATGTTACATGCTTGCTAGCATTTAGCTAGGCTATAAATAATTCAAGATGTTCTTAAATTCCGTGCAGAGCATTTATGATGGAAAATGCAGGGTTTTGTAGTGTTCACATTTTTTTAGCTGGGTTTGTTCAGTTTGAGATCCCAGAATATTTATTATTCGTTATAAAAATAGAACTCCAGTTCTCAGAGACACAGGTTTGGTGTGAGAAGCTCAGAATACCATTCTTTGGTGTGTGAAGAACTGGATGCTGCAGCAGCATATGTTCTTGTGCTAATCTGCGGTGATGGACTAGTGCCGAAAGTTGGTGTCAGCTCCCAAGGGGAGTTATTAGGATCTAGCCAAATGGGCTCTGCAAAACTCAGCATATATTATTCGGAGTAATTTGTATGGAAAGCACACCATTCATTTTCCTTTAGGGAAAAAAAAGGGAAGTAAACGTACAACTAGTTTTTTTCTGTAGTACAGTATTAGGAAAAAAGCTTGCATAACAGCTAACCCCCCCCCCGATCTGTTTCAATTCACTGGTGTAATTTTCTATTTTGAAATCCAAAACAGCTAAAAAAAATATTTTATTTTCCCATGAATCTGAGCTGTGATAGCTATGTGTAAAGGTTCAGATTAAAAAAAAAGAAACACTTTGGATGTATGGATATAGAATTAATCATACCTTCTCAGAGTTTTTCTACAATCATGAATGGCAGGCGACACATTGGAATTTTTTAATGTATCTTTTCACTCTTTTCAATATGGACAAAATATAATCTGTATTGTAGATTGTTGGAAGGTTTATGCTGCTTAGAATGCACTCTTCTGCATAATTGGCTTTATATGTATGTCCTGCTGAAATAAGTACTGCTTTAATGATAAATTGGGCTGTGTTGTGAATTATGCTGGCTAGAACTATTTTTGAATATCTCTTGGCTATCACTATTTAAAAATACAGTATGGTACTGAAAATAGAGCTACGTGAAGGATCAAAAGGCATGCCATGTTCAGAGTGCCCTATGTAGAAAACTGGGAAAGAAAAATAATTTTGTATTTTTTAGAAGTTTATTTCTTACACTTGCAGCCTTAGAGTTCCCTTAAATATTTTGAAAGTTACAAAAGGTAACCAGCTCAACTTTCCGAGGCATATGGAGGCATTTTATTTTCATTTTGCCACTCAATTTTGGTCATTGTGTTTCACATTGAGCTAGCGTGGTGTAGAGCAATGGTTCCCAACTTCGGGTGTTCTTGGACTACAACTCCCTGAAGCCTTCACCACTAGCTGCACTGGCCAGGGTTTGCCGTAAGTGGGAAGTAACTTGACAGACAGCATATGACAATGCATTTTCTGTACCAAAATTCGAAGAATGCTGGTTTGCTATTAGTGTGAAGACAACAAAAGATCTAGGAGTGTAGTTCTAGAAATGTGTGATCAAAAAGTTAGTCCTGGGAAAATGTGTATTATCTTGCTTTCTTGGGCCATAGCAGTTTGAAGTTCATAGTACCAATTCAGTATTGTGAAAGAGAAGAATAGTTTTATCAGGAAAACAGGAATTCTTTCCAATGAGACTACAAGAACAGAAGGTATTTCAAAATTTGGGATAAGGCTGGTAAAAGGAAAAATGCTTATAACATGCTCAGCAGCACAATTTTAGGGGATAAATATAGTTAAAAACTCGTTTCTGGAAGCCATGTCTAGCACCTCAAAAAGAAGCTGTACTTGTCTTTTTTGGTCAAAAAAGCAAAAGGAAGTAGGAAGAAAGAAACCACCCCCTTGTCAGTGAGCTTGAAGATAAGTCTAAAAACATTCTGTGACTCTTGTGCAAAAACAGGAACTGCCTAAAAGGTATATAATTTTAATGTACTGGTATATTGTAATAGACACTTCAAAAAAGAACTGAAGAAGGACCCTATTGAATTAGGGATGTCATGCTGGCAGTGTAGGGTTTAACTCCTTCTCAGTGCTGATTTCTGGAAGAACATAGGCGGCTGTACGTTGCTGGTCTCCACTGAGGCAAATACAGTGTGATGAGAAATACAGTATAATGTAAGATCAGTAAAGGGATGTATTCCTGATTTTCCTTGGTTTCATTCTTTGAAAAGAGAAACTTTGTCCCATGAATCTCCATTTCATATTTTCCTGTCTTCAGATGTATGTTATATTCCATATATTGCCTACTTGTTTTCCCTATATATTATTATAGTAGTCAGAATCAGCTCCATTGTTAGACAGAGTGAGGCAGCAGTTGACTAATTCAGAGGGGCAGCAGCGAGTGTCCCTTAAACTATTTTGCTGCCTTCATGAGTGTGAAGACCATGTTTCGTTTTCAGTGCTTAACTAAGATTCAGTTGCCAGCTGAGTCTGCTACTGTATATGGAACTGAGGAGATGGTGGGCACGATCCTCTACCTCATGTAAGGTGAAAATATGCCCTGGGCTTGTACTGTTATCAAGGCACTATGGAGATACTCAAAGTGAACAAGGAATTTTGCTTCAAGCACACCAAAAGTAAAATAATCTGTATCAGTGGTTCCCAATCTTGGGTCACCACATGTTCTGGGACTACAACTCCTAGGCATATTGGCGAGCAGAGGTAGTAGGTCACCACATGTTCTGGGACTACAACTCCCAGGCATATTGGCCAGCAGAGATAGTAGTGAAGACTTCTGGGAGTTTTGGACCAAGAACATATGATTTATTTATTTATTTAACTTATATGCTGCCCACTCTACCCAAAGGTTTCTGGGCAGCTTACAACAATAAAAATACAATAAAAACAATTAAAATACAATTAAAATATATACTTTGAAAATTGCCATCAGTATCCATAGTTGATATTATTTCAATTAAAAGCCTTCTGGAACAGGAAGGTTTTGACCTGGCGCTGAAATGTCATCAGTGTCAGCGCCAGACGAATCTCAGTCGGGAGGGCATTCCATAGTCTGGGGGCAGCTGCCGAAAAGGCCCTTTGTCTACAAGCTGTCCCTCTTATCTCCTTAAGGGACAGCTGTTTCAAAAGGGCCCCCTGGCTAGATCTTAACTGCTGGGTAGGTTCATATGGAAAGAGGCGGTCCTTGAGCTATCCAGGGCCCAAGCTGTTTAGGGCTTTATATGTCAAAACAAGTACTTTGAATTGGACTCCGGCAGCAACTGGTAGCCAATGTAATTTGAACAGAATTGGCTTGATGTGTCTGTACCCTACAAACCCCACCACTCACCAGCCATGCAGCTCTTTTTTCTGTTCCAGGTTAGGCTTTTTTAGGAGTGGCTTTCAAGGTGATAGGGACCACTCTCTCTCTCGAAGAGGCATTCATGGCCTCCTGGACCCAGGTGTGAACTCCCCCTGGGAGGCAGCCCCATGTAGAGCGCATTGCAGTAATCTATACAAGATGCTACCAGTGCATGTGTAATTGCCATAAGACTCTGCTCATCCAGGTAGGGTCATAGCTGGTATAATTCTCGCAGGTGAAGGAAGGCGCCCATGGCCACTGAGTCCAGCATATTGAAACTCATTAATACTTGACCTAAGCACAGCATAACGCACACATCCTCTGTTTCTGCAGTAACGGTGGAGTCCAACCCACTGAAATCTGAGCAATTTTCCATCAAAATAAATGGCAAACTCATCACAGCGAGCTGATGAGCAGTCCAGGACCTTCACAGGATTTCCCGGTTGAAGAAGATCCCAGACGACCCGAAACAGCTCTGCTGGACGACATTCTAAGCAAGCAATACGGCTGGAGAAATATTGCCATTTTGCCAGCCGTATTGCCATGAAATAGGCCCGATAATGGGCTCTAAGTCGTGTTTGATCAGACTCCCAGTGGGATTTCCTCCACCTGCACTACAGCTTTCTCCCCTCTCACTTCATAACCTGATGGTAACTGCTAATCACAATTAAAACCCCTTCCCTCCCCCCCTCCAGGTGGCTGATGTTGAGGAGGGGGTGGGGCAGCCAGAGGCAGCAAGGAAGGCTGGCAACCGGCAGCAGCACAACCACACTGTTTCTCACTCAGTTCCTGAAGGATGGCAGATGATAAAGACTCTCCCGAAGGCAGGAATGCTGGCGGAGCCAAGCCAATATTGGGGACCCAAAGCTGGGAAGTACTGATCTACATGTTATGGACTAAAATGTTAATTGGGTTTAGCTGTAGTTTTAAAAAGAGTTCCAAAGCATGTTATGTTTTCATAAATTACCAGAAGAATGGCTACGTATGTTAGTCTTTAAGGTGCCATAAGACTCCTTGTTTTTTTTTCTGCAACAGATTACCAGTTTTATTTGTCATGAGTGTTTGTGGACAAGAAGCCCATTAAAGATTTGAGGAAGTGGAACA